TTCCTCAGGAACCTCCGTGCTGTTTTCCATTGAGGCTGCACCAGTTTATAGTCCTACCAGCAGTGTATGAAGGCTTCCTTTCTCCACGCCCTCTTCAGTACTTGTTATTTCTTGTCTTATTGATGGTGGCCATTCTAACAGGTGTGAGGGGTGTCACACTGTGGTTTTCATTTGCATTTTTCTTGTAGCTAGTGAGGTTGAGCATCTTCTCATATATTTGTTGGCTGGCTGTATGTCTTCTTGGGAAATTATCTGCCTGCTTTTTAATTGGATTTTTGTTGTTGATTTGTATGCGTTCTTTGTATATTTTGGATATTAGCCATTTACCGGAGCTATTGTTTGCAAGTATCTTTTCCCATTCAGTTGGTTGCCTTTTTGTTTTGCTGATGGTTTCTTTTGCTGTGCAGAAGCTTTTTAGTTTGGTGTATGTAGTTCCATTGTTTATTTTTGCTTTTACTTCCCTTGCCTCTGTGATCAAGTTCATGGCTCAGTTCTGTTAAGGAAAGGTCCAAAAGTTTAAAAAAACGCCATTTGAGGCTTACCTCTTGGGATGTGTAAAATTATTTGAACAACTTTTAGGCCCAGGGCCTAATAGACGATGTATGTATTTTTGTTAAGAAATTAACTTTCTGTTTGGATTATCAAGACATTAGTCTTATCAGGCAAGAGGCTAATACCTACAAATTGAATTTTTTTCTTATGCCTGTTGGCTATTTGTATACATGGAAAGAGTCTTATAAGGAAGGAGGGTGTGATGAATTTATGTCCCAATATCAGTGGATAAAATTTAAACCCGAAGGAGGGTACATTAGGATCGATCAACAACTGTTTGTTTTATCAGCAGCTGTGATTCCATTTGTAACCAGAAGATGGCAGAATTGACACACAGATGAACTGCTCAGTTATAGGGTTTTGGTTTTAAATGGTGGTGTAGAAAGATATATTAGGCATTCTTAATTTGGGAACCTGCTTTCTAGAAAGAATTTTGGGAATTACACAAAGAATGTGGAATAAAATATAAGTAATTAGACTGCATTTCAAAAATCTTCAGAGTTCCTGAGGTCTCTCTCTCTCTCTCTCACTCATATTAATTTGCCACCTTGAGTTTACTCTGCAAAGTCTGAAGCAGCTTTTTTGCTTTTTACTTTGACTGGCACTGTTCAACCTGCTTCTGTTCACCTTATTACCTGTTTACTCATTAAGAATTGGATGATATTAAACCTTGAATCTTTAGGTTCATTAGATGTGTGTAAATATTTTACCATTTATGAAGACACTTCTGGAGGTGATAAAGATTTGGGTTTCATCCTTGCTCCCTAAGCCAGGTAGCGCTCTGACCTTCAGTAACTTCTACAATCTCAGATGGATTTATATATAAAATGCCAACATAATTAGCTTCTAAGATCAAAGGAATATTTACAGGTTTTCATAAAGAAAAAATGTAAATCAGGTAATTTTTTGGTGAACTATGTTGAAATTGTTGGGGAAAAAAGATATAATGCTAATATACAGTACTGTGGTGATGCGTAGTGACTCTGAAGAGCGTGTCAAGAGCAAGAGAGGCTGGAGGATGCCAGCGGGTGATGTAGAGAAATAGAATTTAGTTGTGGCCGTGAAGGAACCTGAGATTTAGCAGCATGTGTCCCTCTCACTCCCTTCTCTCTCTGCCTTCCTTCATTTACCTAATGTGGGGCTGAAGTTCACTGTAGCTTTTTCCCTTTTAAATAGTCTTATGACTTGTAGTTCTGCAGTTTGGTGCTTAATAAATACTAAAGGAGATGTTCAGGTCTCCATTGCAAAAAAAAAATCTGTCAGAAAAGTTTTTACTGATGTCAAAGAAAGAAAAATCTTGATAGCCGCTTCATTATTATGATCCATCTTTAATTTAAAGTTCATTAAATTTTTGGTATGCTTAAATCTGATGAGGCCAGTGCTGCATTTCAGTGCTGATAAAAGATGGGGACATGGATTTTCTTTATGGAAAACCTTGGTTTTCTTGCCTTTGATAGAGCTTTAACATACAAAGCATTCTAGGGTTTAATGAAAATGCCACCCTTCCTGTGTGATGGATTCACACCGAACCCTAGGTTTATGAGATCAGAAGCCTCTGAAGAATGGATTGACCAAGAGACCTGCAGGCGACACTGCCTTCGTTTCCTTTCATGGCACCACAGCACTGTAACATGTTTTTGTTCTTGTGCAGTGAATACTCTGTTGTAGCTCAGATTCAAATCTAAGAAAGATCAGAGTTAATAGAAAACCAAATAGAAGGCAGTGGAGTGACTGTAGGAAATAGAGGACTTGCTTTGTGGCCTTGCTCTCACGCCACGATGGCCGCGCCGTGGAAGTCAGGGAGCCGTGCTGTGCTTTGTACCCCTTCTGTTCGTTAGATTGCTTTCCATCTGAGAACCTTTTCAAAGTTTTCCCCGTGTCTGTATTTTTAAGAAATAAAAACAATAATATAAGAACACGGAGGGTTATGAAGCATGAGGTTCCATAAATATTTATGCTGACTCACAAAAGTAGACAATTCTAATTTTCTTGACGCATTGGGGTCATTTTTCACTCGACCTCTTGAATTGAAAAATACAAGGAGCTAGTGTACACTTTTCTTTCTTCTTTTCTTTTTTATTTATTTATTTTCATTTCTTTAATGAGTTTTAGATGCTGGGAGCTTTCCTGTTAGGTTCATGTAAGTTTCATAGCACTTTATTTTCTCTATAGTTTTATAGGGATGGATTTAAATGTTCACTCATATCACAAGTAACATAATTTATACTCAATTTTAGGCCTTAGTGGCTAGCTGTTCCCCTGGTGTTGTGTGTGTGTGTGTGTGTGTGTGTGTGTGTGTTATTGTCACTGAATTAAAAGTAAATGTAACTTTGTCAAGGCTGCTAAGTAGGCTGCATAGAAAAGCATATTTTAAAGTAGCCCTTTTATTTTGTTTTCTTGCCCACTTAGACTCTTTGGTCTGTAGCAAATATTTTTGCCCTTTGAAATTACATTGAAAAAACTTAGGAAGTAATAATGCATGTTTGTTGCAGAGAATTTAGAAAATGCAGGTAGGCAAAAAAGGAGGAGAAGCACCCTATAACCCTCATCTTTATATAGCTGTACGTACAGGCAGTCTATTCAATGCAAAGGAAAAATACATATTTAAAAAAATCTGGAGTACTGGGAAGGTCACTTCTGTGGAAGTGATTGATTTTTGGTGGTGGTCTTCCTCTTGGGAAGATTGTGGTTTAGTAGAAGAGAAAGTGTATTTTAAAAATTATGTGATATAAGTTAAGTAAAATATGTCAAGCAAGGTGGTTTATTTGGGGAAATAAGAGTAAGGAGGAAATTGTTTGGAGAATAAAGAAGGAATCTTTTGAACTTAAGAAGAAAAGGTATGCTTGGGAAAATTAAGCATTACAGAAATCAAGACTTAAAAGGGTACTATAAAGATTTCTGGACCAAGTCAAGTAAGAAAATTACACCCAGGAAGGCAAAGGTAATGCCTGAAAGTTCACTTTCAGAGCCTGGGCCACAGTCTAGGTCTGAAGATGCTCAACTATCCTGCTGCTCATCCCTGTCTGAAGGTGATTCCTGGAGGAAGGTCCAGCTTAGATGCAGGAAGTGGTGTCCGTGGCTGAGGGCCAGCCTCGGCAAAGGGAGATCGTCACAGCAGTGTAGGCATGTGCCAGGGACCCCTACTCTGCCTTTTCTCTCAGCCTCTGGTCTTCTTATATACTCCCATCTCTCTCCTAGGTTGTTAACTTCTGCCTTGCTGTTACCACTTTCCCCACCCTATATGCAGGTATTTAGCATCTTAAAACAAGACAAAGAACTGCCAGTTCTTTGAACCAACCCCCTGATGTGTTAGCCCACTTCCCGAGTAGTCTATGTTTGCCTGTCTCTATCTTGAAATTACTTATTAATTCTCTGCAGTGGGTCTCCTGCCCCAACCCTCCATTGACACAGTTCTGGCGAATTCTGTTAACTCCCATGTACTAACTAGCATGCTTGAGACTCTTGACCCATTGCTCTGCAAGTCTCCATTTGCTACTTCTGTCACCCTTGAATATCAGGTACAGTTCTTGGTTGCTTGCAGTCGAAATTGATCTTGGGTAACTGTGGAAAAAAGATTTTCTTTGCAGGGAGGTTGACAGACACTGTTAAGTTGCCTTCCCTTCTCACTGCCAACAGAATGGTGATTTGGATTGGGTGGCAGTGTCCCTAACCCTTTGCTAGATCTACATATTCTCTGTGGTCCTGATAGAGTGGCCATGTCACATGTAAGTGGACACTGCTGGGGAGCATCAAAGAAAAAAAAGGAGGCCTGTTCTTGCCTTGGACCCAGCTGTGTGACAAACACATGAGAGAGGTGGCACATACCTCTCCCTGGCATATCATGAAAGGTGATGTTAAAATTAGTCTGGTGTGAGTATGGGCCAACCAGAACCTGTGTCACTTTGAATGCTGGAGCAGGGTCCAAAAGTACCTGGTGTTACTCAATTGCTGCATGGTGGGGAGTTCTGGGGCGCTGGGCTGGGAGCTGGGTGAGGCTGCAAGGGGCTGAGATGGAAGGTTGGGGGGAACCCGCTGATGCATTACTTCCAGTAGAGCAAGAGTGCTATTGATTGGTTTGTTCTTTCGTCAGACACGTTTGAAATGGCTGTTGTGTGAACCAGATGCTATTTAGTAGATGCTGGGGGTTCAACATCAGTAAATAAGCTTCTTGGTATCTGGGAGCTTTTAGACAAATGTGCTTGGAGCAGTGTGGCAGGAGGTGAGAGGGTCTGTACAGAGCAAGGACGGAAGGTTTGGGGCTAATAAAACTGTGTGTGTCCACTGAGGGCTCTAAGTGTTTTAGGCTAAAAGAAGCACAAACCCTTTGACATCTTGCACTAAGCCTGTACATTATACTTTCTTATACTGTAACTTTTGCTTATGAAAAAATTTCAATTTTTGTAGAAGTTATTTCTTTTTCAGGATGTACTTAAATTTATATATTTTAGGTTGCCTGCCTGATTCGAGTTCCTTCTGAAGTAGTTAAGCAGAGGGCACAGGTTTCTGCTTCTTCGAGAACATTTCAGATTTTCTCTAACATCTTATATCAAGAGGTGAGGTGTGTTTTTAAGTTCTCTCTTTTTTCTTTATTGAGAAAGATTTGATAGCAGCTAATATAAGCACTGTGAGTCTCATATCAAGAGTCCTAGAGTCTGTAAGGAGACCTTACAGCTAAATTTAATGTCCAATTGTAGTAACTTTTTATGCTAAGATTATAGTTGTCTTTCCTTTGTTTTCTAATTCTTATTTTTATTTCTTTTTAAAATTTCTAAACACATATTGAGTGCCACCACTATGTGAGTCCTACATTATAATCATACCACAGCTCTTTTGGAATCAGACATGGAATGAATAGTAAATATGTAAAATGGGTGAGGTTGTATGAAACCATGACTACAGATTTTGGGGGCTTGTGGAAGAGAAGTCTAGTAATGGACTGATCCTAGTCACAGTTGTCACGGTGTTTACATTAGAGTGTAATCCCTCTTTCACTGGCTACCGCTAAGCTATGGGTCAGAAGTTATTCCTGCTGGCCCTGTGCCTAGGAACCATCGAGCTGCTTTCCTTCCTGGTTTTTACAGAAGCCTTTAAAATTTTTATTTATTTTTTACTGAAGTCAATCATGTGGAAATTTCAATGAGTCTGGGTTTAGAAAAGTTATTAGAAAAGTTATTCTTAATGGTCCCTGTGTCACCTCGGTAAAGAGATGCTGAGTCTTTACTTGTATGGATGAGATCAAACCATTAGAGTCCCATGGTTGGTGAACTAGATAAGCCAAGGCTTGTCCAGAGGTATCTATACTATTGAGAGGTTGTTAATGAACTTCTGATGACTTCGGATGGAGACTATGAAATATAATTCTGTTTTCCTATGAAAAGATCATCAACACTCTATGTGCATTTGCTTTTGGAAATATATTTATTTAAAGCATCTCAAGTATTCCCAGAAGAAATATTGAAAGCAACTAAAGCTAAATTAATATGTATTCAGTTTTATTATTAGTGCTATTTCTATTTTAAAGGGAGTGGACCAGTTAGAACCTTTAACTTCTTAGAGAACTGTGGTCATTGTGGATGTTTTAAAACTCAGACTTTAGGAAAGGTCAATGTGCTCTATGCAGAATGTCATTCTAAAATTTCTGCTCTTCTATCTTTTCTTTTGCTTGTTTCAGGGCATCTCAGGATTGTATCGAGGCTACAAAAGCACAGTTTTAAGAGAGGTAACTAACTTAATTTCCAGTATTGAAGTACAAAAACAATATGCTTTGTTTAGTAAATTTATTTGGAGAAACCGCTTTAAAAAATTTAAAAGGGAAATTATAATCACTTTTTAAAACACTCTTTAGTCTCGCCTTGATTCTTGCATCTAATAAATGGGTCCAATGAATTGGTTTGCTGAACAAGCAATCCCGGTGGTCAGGACGACCACCCTGTAGCTTCACTGTAATTCTAGAGTGGTAAGTATCTGCTGTAGCTCAAATATTGGGAAATAACTGATGCACAGAATTTTCAGCTGGTATGCTGAGAAGATTAGTCTTCTTTATGAAACACCTACACTATTATTTAAAGCTTTGGTTTGCGCAAGGTAACAACCTTAAGTGTGGTGTAGGTGATGTATATCTTTGAAAAACTTCTTTTAAAGGTAAACTGTATATTTCAGATTAGTCATTTGGGTGAAGATGACTTCTTTCTGCCTTTCAAAAATATCACCTGCACTGTATCTTCATTCTGTACTGAGATTCTGACTCACTAAACATGAGTTAGTTACTCAGATTTCACCTGGGTGCAGGGGAAAGGCAGGGAGGGCCTGTGAACCTTTTTTATTTTTCCGAGAGGTGCTGAATAAATGAATATATTTACATGCCAGAGAATACTGGTTTCACATTCAAACAAATAGATAAAACACATGGATACAACTGCATTCTATTCTTTTAAAAATTTGTTTTGACGTATGTCACACTAGTAATTAATTTCCAGGCTGCAATTCTTCCAGATAATGTGACCCTACTGAGATAACTGTCTACTCACATGGCAGTGCTTTGTTGGAAATCTAATTGGGGTCTTTGCATTATGCGTGTTCATGAAAGAGCCTTCAGAACTGATTTTAGGTGAAACATTGCTTTAGTACAGATTCTCTGATAGAGTGAGAAAAGAATTACTGCTGAATGAAATATAAGTTCTTTTCAAGATGAGAAAAATAAGAGGTGATATATCTGCTTTAAACAAAATTTTTGCATTATAAATAGTTTCAGTTCTTACATCGTTCTGACACCAATATCAAATCTTTTTGCAAAGAGTGGGTTTGATTGTTTCAATAAGAAAATACATTGAAGCCTTAGTCAGAATCAGCAGTAAACTTATACATTTATTCTGTGTACAATTTTTCCTTTTAAAATAGTTTTATCTCCCTAGCAGTAGCCCATTAGAAGGAGATTGAAGCTTGAATCCATGCATTATAAAGTAGATTGTGTGTTACTTAGATTTTCTGAGTGCTGTCACATGTTTTTTACTACACTTGATGTTTGTGGATATTGCAGGCTTATCCCTATGTTCTCCTAAATTATTTTAGTTGCTTTGAATTTTAGACTGAGTCTAAGCAAGGTAAACAAATTCTGCTATTCACCTCACCCTTTCAGTATTTGTTTTCCTCATGATCTTGGCCAAATTAGATGTGACCAAGCACTGTGGTGCTGTGGTGTCATGGCTGTAAGATGGGAGTGGGAAGCAAATCACAGCTACTTTCATAGCCAGGCTGAGGTCAGAGGGTCCATTACCCTGAGAGTTCTGTGGAGACGTCTCAGGATCTCGGATGTGAATTACAAGGACTTGAATAGGGGAAGAAAGCAGAGAAATGCAAGTTGTTTCAAAAGAAGTAGGAATAAATTAAGCTCAGCAAATGTGTTTTATCCACAAGTTCTATTCCACAATCATTTAAAAAGTGTTGGGCACCACATAGAAGGATTCATATTCTGATGGGGAAAGAATTAGGGCAGTAGACACGTTATGGTGCAGTGTGATAGTGTTGCAGTGATGTGTCTGCCCGAGACAATGGGCAGTTTACGGGGCAGTGTGATAGTGCTGCAATGGTGTGTCTACAGGAGACAGTGGACAGGTTACCGTGCATTGTGATAGTGCCCAGTGGTGTGTCTGCAGGAGACAGTTGACAGGTTACCGTGCAGTGTGATAGTGCCCCAGTGGTGTGTCTACAGGAGACAGTGGACAGGTTATGGTGCAGTGTGATAGCGTCACAGTGGTGTGTCTACAGGAGACAGTGGACAGGTTATGGTGCAGTGTGATAGCGTCACAGTGGTGTGTCTACAGGAGACAGTGGACAGGTTATGGTGCAGTGTGATAGCGTCACAGTGGTGTGTCTACAGGAGACAGTGGACAGGTTATGGTGCAGTGTGATAGCGTCACAGTGGTGTGTCTACAGGAGACAGTGGACAGGTTATGGTGCAGTGTGATAGCGTCACAGTGGTGTGTCTACAGGAGACAGTGGACAGGTTATGGTGCAGTGTGATAGCGTCACAGTGGTGTGTCTACAGGAGACAGTGGACAGGTTATGGTGCAGTGTGATAGCGTCACAGTGGTGTGTCTACAGGAGACAGTGGACAGGTTATGGTGCAGTGTGATAGCGTCACAGTGGTGTGTCTACAGGAGACAGTGGACAGGTTATGGTGCAGTGTGATAGCGTCACAGTGGTGTGTCTACAGGAGACAGTGGACTGGTTATGGTGCAGTGTGACCGTGCCACAGTTGTGTGTATACAGGCAGTGGTGTGCATATACAAGATGCAGCTGGGATTCTAGAAGAAGCAGTGCTCAAGTGGCACTCAGTTATTATTTATTGCATTAATAGAAATTAGTTTTTAATTCTTGAAGTTGTAGTTAGAAGTAGGCAAGGAGACTGGCAGATGTAACAACATGAGCAAAGGCACAAGGCTGTGAAAAAACATGTATACCTTACTTACCTATGCAGAATTGGGGTTTTCACCCCTACAGAAGAGGCAAGAGTAATTTCCCTCCACCTGAAGCTCGGTGAGGGCACTTGGAGAAGGCACTGAGCCTAGTGGGTATTTGCTGGGAGGAGAGGTTGAACATCTCACCCCACTTGGTTGTTTGCCAGGGGACTTTGGTAGAGCACATGGGAAGAGCCCTTGGAAGAGCCTGACATGTGTCCCCTGGTGTTTGGAGGGTAAATTACTGGTGTTTGACTCTGATCTGCACAAATCTGACAGTGAGATGCTGGTTGTAGCTGCCTCATGGCAGGACATTGCCATTTTGGTGATGAATAACTCCTGGCTTCTTGGTAGATAAAGAGTGGTCAGCCACTGAAGAGATTTGAGATAGATGAGGGTTATCTCCCCCTCTCCCGGATTTTCTTACCAGCCTTCAGTGAAAGTGAGTCTCCTTCCAGATTCTGTTACACGTGCAACAAGCACATGCATTCAAAGTCAGGCAACCCAGCAGGCCACCACCAGTCATTGGACCTGTTCTGTAAGTTCACTGATGCCTCTAGTTTCTCTCTCTTTTTTTCTTTTCTTTCCATTCACGAGATATTTATTATAACACATTTATAGAAAAAAACCCAGTGTATACATTATTACCAAAAACTATATGTCATCATGCAAAAAAGGATTTTATTTTGGATAAGCAATTTCTAATTTATGGCAAGTTTTACTTTCAGAAATAAGACCACAAAACACAATCTGATCAATCTTAGAGGCTGGCATGCTGGCAGGGAGCATTCTTATGCTTTGTAGGAGCTCCTTTACACTGTCAGGACCAGGGCTCTGCGCTCTGGCGCAGTCTCAGCCACCAGCCCATCTACAGTGGTGTGTTCTAGTCTTCTCTTTCATTTCCTCTGCAGTGTGCCTTCTGCTGGTCCTCTCAGCCACATTCACTAACTTCGCTCTCGGCCACTCTCTGCAGCATTCTCTCTCCGTTTCTCTCACCTGCGCATCTTTGTGTGTCTTGCTAACTGCCATCGCCACTCAAGGGCCGCTCCTTCCCAGCCACAAAATGACCCTTGTACTGACAACCGCTACCTGCCACACTCTTTGGCTGCCCGGACTTCAGTCTCTTTAGGTGCAGAAATTACCACTGATTGAAAAGTTCACTTTCAAGTACATATGGAAGCTTTCCAAAATTGGTTATATTAATGTCTGCTTGAGTCAGTGACATTTTCCCTTAATCTAGTGTCTGGAAACAGGAACCTTTCAGAATCAACCCTCAAGGATTGTCCTTCAGTATCTCTGTTCCAGTTCTGTTCATTAGATTCCACATATAAGTGAGATCATATGGCATTTGTCCTTCTCTGACTGGCTTATTTCACTTAGCATAACAGTCTCGTATGGAAGAACATATTCACCAATGATACATTTGATAAGAGGTTAATTTCCAAAATATATAAAGTACTCAGATAACTTGACACCAGGAAGACAAACAATCCAATTAAAAAATGGGTAAAGGACTTGAATGGTTACTTGTCCAAAGAGGACATACAGATGGCCAGGAGACATATGAAAAAATGCTCAATGCCTCTAATCATCAGAGAGATGCAAATTAAAACCACAATGAAGTATCACTTCACACCTGTCGGAATGGCTCCATTGACAAACAAGAGCTGGGTAGGATATGGGGGGAAGGGAACCTTAGTGGACTGCTGATGGGAATGCAGACTGGTAGAAAACAGTGGGAAACAGTATGGAGGTCCCTCAAAAAATTTAAAATGGAACTACCTTTTGACCCAGTGATCCCACTTCTTGGAATATATTCTAAGAATCCCAAAACACCATTTTGAAAGGATATATGCAGCATTATTTACAATAGCCAAGATCTGGAAACAGCCCAGGTGCCCATCAGTAGATGAGTGGATAAAAAAACTGGCACATTTACACAGTGGAATACTATGGCTGTAAAAAGGAAGGAACGCTTACCTTTTGTGACAGCATGGATGGACCTGGAGATTTTCTAAGATTTCAGTTTTCTTAAACCCTGAAAAAATAATTTTTATAAGCTTGGTTTTATTAGAAGAGTAAAGCACTGTAATTAATCCACTTTTAGTTCACATCTTAGTAATTCCACTGAAAAGGAAAAACTGTGATTATAAATCTTTCCAAACTTTTAATTTTTATTCCTTTTAGAGAGAGAGGAGGGGAGAGGGGCAGAGAGAGAGAAATACTGATCATTTGCCTCCTGCACCCTCTGATGGGGAATTGA